GGCAACCAACTTCTCTCTGCTGAACTGATCCTTGTCTCTAATTAGGCTGGGGGGGGGGGTGGGGGAGGGGACAGATCACGGTTCCCATGCCTTCCAAACTGATCTGCAGTCAGACTGGCACAGCAGAGAGGGGTAGAATCGATGTTCTGAATTTTTTTGTGACCTTGATGTCACGAAGCCTCACGTGGTGACTCTGTGCTCCTTGTTTTTGCAGGTGGAGCATGACCCCTCCGACCGTGAATGCATATTACAACCCAACCAAGAATGAGATGGTTCTGCCGGCAGGAATTCTTCAGGCTCCTTTCTATAGTCGTTCATGGCCTAAGTAGGTTTTTTTTACATTGCATTCGATCTTGTTGGATGCATTTTAGTAGAATAGAAGACAAGTTTATTGTACACCAGAGTGGAAAATTGTCTTTAGTTCACAAAACCATAAACCATTCAACATTATCCACAGAGAAAGTAATTTAGTGGCTGTTTTTTGACTACAAATCACAAATTGTCACTTTCACTTTGGCTTTTATACAGATGAAACAAACGAGATATAACAAACTTTAGAGATGCTTGTAGATGGATTTTGTTACTTTGGACAGAGCCAGACTAGTTGTTTTCCTGTTTCCAGTTTTTGTAGTAAGCTAAATGGTTTCTAGGTCCAGATTCATATTGAACAGACACATATGTGAGAGTGGTATTAATCTTCTCATCTAACTCTGGGCAAGAAAGTGACACTGTTGGTGTGAACATTTTCACAATGTATGATTTTGTTAATGTTTTTCAGAGCTCTTAACTTTGGTGGAATTGGAGTTGTCATGGGACATGAACTGACTCACGCTTTTGATGACCAAGGTTGGTAAATAGTTTTATTTTTTAAACAATTTACATTTTTAGATGATAAAAATTAACCATCTTGATACTAAATTGTTAAATAAAAAAACACTTGAAGCGCAACTTGTCTGTAATATTTCACACGTTCATTCAAAGGGAGGGAATACGACAAGGATGGAAACCTGCGTCCCTGGTGGAAGAACTCTTCTGTGGAGGCCTTTAAGAAGCAGACCCAGTGCATGGTGGAGCAGTACGGAAATTACAGCATCAACAAGGAGCCTCTGAATGGAAGACACACCCTGGGAGAGAACATCGCTGACAACGGTGGACTCAAGGCCGCCTACAAGGTCCGATGTTAAATAGGAAGCATAAGTAAACCTTGAATATTTCAGTTATGTGGCTAAAACCTGAGGGAAAGTGGCTTTCTGTCACTGGTGTAGACAAACAATTAAACACTGCTGCAAGAGAGCATTTCGATTATTATTAGGGAATAGTGGAGACCACTGCTGTTATGTTTTCCGATAGCAACATCGTCAGATTGCATGTTTACAAGGGCAGAAAAACTCACACAGATCTAAGATTAATCCCCTGCATTAGTTTATTTACCTAAGGCTGTTGTGGGTCACATCCATTAATCTGTATTGGAAAAAGCAGGTTGTCTGGTTTACAGTGAAGCCTGGAAATGCAACAGGTGGTTACGAGTGGCCTTGTCAGCCTCTGGTTACTTCTTCACATGGACACATTCTTTCCATGTAATGAAAGGTCATAAGCGATGAAGCCCGTTGAGCAAATCCTATGGAAGTGAAGCAGCCCACATTACATGGTACATATTAAAAATAACACCCAGGGAGGACCTTAAGTGGATCTTCTATTTCCCTTATCACCATACACTTTTACATAACAGTGAATGCATGTGTGTAACATGATCGTTTGTTGCCTCGAAGGCTTACGTGAACTGGATCAAAAAGAACGGCGAGGAGGCCACACTGCCTGCGCTGGGAATGACCAACCATCAGCTGTTTTTTGTAGGATTTGCCCAGGTTTGTATTACTCGCATTACTCATATTATTTTCTTCTTACTTCATACCGTCTACATACGACTGCTGTATTTCTTAAAGCTCCCCTCCAGTCATGTTTCAAGACATATGAAAATACTCTGCTTTGAATAATAATTTGCGTCTAAAGTGAATTTCAACAAATATATTCAAATACCTTGTTAAGAATTCTTTAAATGACATCTGCGCCCTCTCCCTCGTTGAAAAACACATAATATATACTATTTTTAACAAGATGTCTCCTACTTTATTGAAAAGTTATTTATCAGTGTATGTGTACAGGAGGCTTCAAGTTTCCACATGCTTGTACATTCATGTGTTAAACTCAGATTTTAGGTTATCACTGAGAAGCTTTCGTAGTTGATTAATGTGAAAACAGCCTACTAGTGAAAAAAAACAACATACTTTTGACTTGAGGGGAACTTTAAGACAAAAATCAGTAGTGTAAATGTGTCCTAGGCAGGAAAATTTCGATTAATCAGCTCAGAAAACACTTGAGCTGTTATGACAAGAAATGAATTAATTAATTCTGTCCAGCCTCTGAAATCTCTTTATAATTCTTCACAGAAATTTAGCAATTCATTCCTCATGTTGTGTCTCTTTTATATGTTATTATTCCTGCAGGTATGGTGCTCTGTCAGGACACCTGAGAGTTCACACGAGGGCGTAATCACAGATCCTCACAGTCCGTCAAGATTTAGAGTCATCGGCACCATCTCTAATTCACACGAATTCTCGAAGCACTTTGGCTGCAAAGCAAATGCTCCCATGAACCCTAAACACAAGTGCGAGCTTTGGTGATGCCTCGTTGCTCGGTGCTGTTTATCAGTGGATGTGCGAAATGGACATTGGGGGAAAAAAAAAATAGCTTGAGATACTGAAAAAGTCTCTCCGGACAGGGAACGCAAGAACCACTGAAAACTCCCACTGCCTTGCTACTTAATGCTTATCGGACTCCTTATCAGGACAAAATGCTGCTCTGTATGGAGGACTCTAATCTTCAGTGCTTCTCTGCAAGGACTGTTGGTTTCGCATAAAGCTTTCCCCAACTTCTGAAGTTAAATGTAGCTATAAATGTGCTTTATGAACACTGGAAACCCAACAGTTGGTTACACAAAATGGGGGAACCACTCTCGAATTTTGTAAACTGCTCGTTTGTCACAAAAAAGTGATAAATAAGTAAAGTGATGTTTTCTTATTTTCCTGTAACTCTACACTGTGTTTGGATCGGCTCCAGTTTACTTTTATTGTGTTTTATTTATAGTCACAAATTGTTATGTGAGTGAAACCAGGAACCTGCAAGGTTTTTAATTGGGTCATTTATTAGTAATTGGTATAAATATGTTTTAATGTGTACAATTTGGTTAAACTGTTACATTTAAAAAAAATAAAAATAACAATGGGATATTTGTGTTTAAAAGTGACATAATGTCCCAATGCTCTCATTTTATTTCTAAAATGTGAGACTAATACAACCAGAAACAGAATGAAGAAAATTCACAGCAATAAAATAAAGCATCAACAATTTTTTTTCATTCAGAACTTGTGCCATACCTGTTTTTATGAGCTTGTCACAAATTATTTTGTATAGTAAAACCAATCTTAAAACATTTCTGTCTCATGTCCATTATTTGTTCACAGAATCTGCACACACACATCTTTATGTGACTAGCTTCATATAGTGCCTAAATAACTGTCTCATATTTGATTATATTACTCAACCAATCTGTAAATCTGATAGGAAATTGTCTAACTTGCAGATGCGAATCAGCCTGAAGAACAGTAGATGGCGCTAGTAACACACAAGTGTATGTTACAGTCCTGCAGCTGGTGCAGACCATGAAGTAAACTAATATCTAAATATTGGATGTGAAGCCTTTTTGGGGGCATGCATAAACGCAAATTACTAGAAACATCTGTGCAACTTGATGTAATTAAGAATATTTCATGTTTATAGTTTTCCTTCTTAATATATTAATATATTTTTAGCGACATGTTCTTGCTTTATAGACTCATTTTATTGACTACGCTTGAGAATGTACAACCAAAATGATTTAAATTAAATAAATAAATAAATTCCAAAGTAATTGTTCTGTCAGACACATGGAAACCGGAGCCATGCGTTGTAGTGGGTTTGATAGTAGGTGAGTTGATTAGCCGAGCGAATCCGTAACTGGCCGAGAATCGCCGAATCATCTGTCCTGCCCGGACTGCTGGAAGCGGCCGCAACGCCATGTTGGCGAAGTCTCTCATCTCTGTGAGGAAAAAATGATAGAAAACACACTTGTCGAGAAGAAAAGGTAGATCGCCGAGGGAGGTCGAAGATCGTGGCGATTATTTATTTTGAAAAAGAAACGAAACCGAGCCGGATCCGCAGAGGTTCCGGACGGGCGAGGGAGGCTAAACCTCCCACCGTCCCCATGAATAGCACCGCTGATCCGAACAGCGACTTTCCATGAAAAAAAAAAAGACGTTTGTGTCGCTATTTGAGCTTCGTTATCCCAGTTCGTTAAAGGGGATTTGGGGCCTGCTTCAAGAATCCGCTCCGCTTGCTCCATGCACGCAAGCTAAGCGCTGTTTGTATCAGTATTTATTAAGATATTGTTTTTTAATTTGTTGAGAATTTTAATTTTTTGAAAATTTTTTTTTTTTTTTTTTTTTTTTTTTTTTTTTTTTTTTTTTAATTTTATTTCTCTGCGATGAGTTTGCCACCGAAAGTGGTCCCGAAACCCGCCGCTGTCGCAGTTAGCGGACCTGGAAGTGGCCCCTCTCCGTCGAGCCAACTGCGGGCTACCCTGACCTCCGTGTCTCTGCCGCCGGGAGCCCCGACAGCTCCTCAGCCCGGCGCTGTACCGCCTCAGTATCCTTCTTTAACCTGGGTATGGACGTGTGATTGTAATGCATTTTCACCGCTTTCCCTTTGTTTGACAGCAACACACACATTGCAGTTTTGTTATTTTATTAGAGATATAATTTATATGTATATATATATATATATATATATCGGTTGGATGCGGGGATGATGGTTTCGTTTGGAGGGGAGGGGACAATTAGCTAAGTGTGCTAACATTAGCTTCTGATGCCGGTTGGTGAAGCTAACGGAAATGTCAGTTGGGTTTTTTTTTTTTTTCTGTGCAGTTCGCGGCTCGCTGTTTAAATATAGTTATCAGTGATTAACCGGCTGTCATTTGAACACAGCGGCTGTATATTTTAAGCGATAGACGAGGTGTCGTTTATTTGGCGATATGTAAAAGCTCCGTTACCGGCAAGCTATCAGGCTTTTACCGGTTACCGGCTTTGTTCAGTTGTCGGTGTCGGTTAGCAGAGGTGCGTTAGCCTGGATATCGGCAGCCGCGACGCAGAGCAGCAAACTGCTTCATCCATTTCAGGGAGATATCACTTGATAACGGGGGCGAACAGTAGCCCCGTACAAGGCCCGATTTATGGGAATTGCACCTTTTATTTATTATTATTATTTACCCCCCCCCGCTACCGTTTCACGTAACATTAGCTGGCTTTTTGAAGGGGTGTTTCTCCGCAGCTTTGACAGGCCTGTCGGGGCTTTCGGCTCTCAGGATGACAGCCTGCAGGAAAGTTAATAACTGTCTGCTTTCACGACAATTGAAGGCATGTTTTGATTTAAACAGTTGAAAATCGATAGTACACTATTAGTAATCCTTCGTGGTCCGTCTCCAACTATCTAACCCACATTGTAAAGTCATTCCACCTCCTTTTTTGTTTTGTTTTTTTGTTTTTTTTCTCGCTGGCATTGCTCCAAAATAAACCTTTTTCACCTTTTGAGTTTTACCCAGACATGAAGCAGTGTTACTCTACCCTACTTTTGGTGGAGTGGAGTCACAGTGGTTATGTCACCTCCTGTTTTATTTACAGCATGGTGGCAGTAGTGTGAGGCAGAGGATTAGGTTGACGTCTCCTGCCCGCCAGTGGCTCAGAGTTGTGTCTTTTGTGATGTGACAGCCTCTGTTGTGGCTCATCTTTGGGGCGTGATGTCTCAACCTGATTTCCTGCCACCCACTATCACAGCCGCCCTGTGTTTCTGACATCTGTAAGGGGCAGTGAGAAGCTGGTAATGTCAGGTGGTGGTGGTGTTTGTTTTTTTTTTTGCTTACAGTGTGTTTTGTAATGTTTTTGAGTCGGTGGAGGAAATCGAACACAACGCAGAAGATAATTAACTCTCTATCTGTTGTGAAATGTCCTCTTTTGACTTTCCAGGCTTTTTTGAAAATTTGCTTAACCTACTTTCGGCTGTGTGATATTCAGAGTCTACCGGTTCAGTGCGGAGCTGCACCCACTTCATTTACTCAGCGACTGACTTTGTTTAAAGCACAGCTCCACATAACAACAAGTAAAATAATGGCAGATATTTCTGTTTTAAAGTGTTGGACGTCACACCCCTTTGGCGTAATTGATCACTCTTGCTTATCTGATTCTTTAACACTGACTTATTTTGCCTAACATAGCTAAATTACTGACCCCTCCTGATGAAGTTGTGGCTATTGATCCACTAAAGTAGGAGTTCCTGTGTTAAATGTACAGGGACAAACCTGAGTCAGACACACATAAAGCACAAAAGCAGGTTACTTCCCAGGCACATTCCCGTTGCTATAGATTTTAAACGTCATTAGGAGATTAGAGTTAGCCCGGCTGATTAACTGCATTGTGAAAGAATGCGTTCATGGGTCGCAGATATTATCCCGAACGCTTGTTCAATTAAAGTCAATCCAAAACATCCAATACTCGGACAACGGAGGGTGCACGGAGGGAAATTAGCACCAGCAAAAAGCTTGTAAAATATGAAAGTGGCAGGTAGATTTGAGCACGCAATGACTTACTTACTACTTACTGTCGGAGTTATTGAGTTCCCCAAGCTAATGTACTTTTAATTCAATCCGGTACAACAGCTGTGCAGTAACGCCTACTTTTATAAAGTTTATCATGTTAGTGTTGGTGACAGTGTGTTGCCATTTTGGGGGTTTAAAGTTCGCGGTTGTGTTGAATTTAATTGGATTTTGTTGACTGTCTTATATTAAAGTAAGATTTTTTTTAACCTTTTCTTGCCTTACATTAACCGTCTGTGTAGCAGGTGGGAGTCTGCTTCGTCCTGGGACCTCTGTGTAATTTACAATATCCCCCAGAAGGTCCCTGGACCCTGTTCGAGACAGCATTGAACTAGACTGAATTTATGTTCACATCTACATGAAAACAGACCCTCAGAGTGTCGCTGCTCGTCTGACCCCTCACCTCTCTGGACCTCTGAGGTCAGGAGTGTGTCACGCTCTGTCTGGGCTCCTGGTGCATGGGAATTCCCACTTTGTTGGTGTTTGTGTAGCCCTGAGATGCACGGAGGGGTTT